GACGTGCTCACCGACGAATTCGGCATGCATATCCAAACACTCCCACGATCCTTGGAAGTTGGCCCACGTGCCGAACGATCTGGAGGGTGTCAACGTGCATGGCGGTTACCTCTAGGAATCTCGACCCACTTAGACGACCTCGCAGAAATCTCGGATATGGTGCGTGAAGCCCACGCCAAACAATGCCTATATAAAAGCACCAACCCAAAAGCAAAGGGGGAGGCAAGCAAGCAAGTAAGCAAGTTCTAGCTCTCAGACTATGATTTTTAGCTCGCAATCTACTATGAGAGTACTGACTTAAGCATCGGAGCGACCTCGCCGGGTTAGCCACCCCGGATCCTCTGACATTTGGTTCCTTGCAGGTCTCTAAAGAGCAACGAAGCTCATCAATTCAGCTCGCCACCAGGCAGGTCGCCACTTGGTCAGCCCAGCACCTCACAGGCAGCTCGGCACCTCGCAGGCAGCTAGGTAGCCAAAGTTCTCCACTTCGGCCTGAATCATCGGCCACTTGGAAGCAAACCAAATGACGAGGTACTTAGCCAAAAAGTCGATACATCAACAAAAATTGATTCATCAATTGGCGCCGTCTGTGGGAAACGCTACAAAAAGTCAAGTTCTCATCCTCTGAAAGGCTAAGCCCTCTTCTTCCAGAAAGCTAAGTCCTCATTTTTTAGAAACTAGTGCTCTCGCTTTATAGTTTCCATTTTTTACTCAAAGACTATGCATGAACTGCTAACAGACTAAGCAGCTCTATCAACTTTACTTTCAATTCAGATAAAGCCTCATCAGTCCTCTTCGCGAGGTCCCCCCTACAAAGATGAGCTCACCGTGGCTTCCGCGGGAATTGGCGGCCAACGGACTGCATGAGCGCCCTTGCTGGTCGAGCCTTCCAAGGCTCTCGTGCGAGCTGGCGACCTAAAGTTAGTAGTGCTACCCCCGTAGGTCGAGCTCCTAGTAGTTTCTTGTAGGAGTGGGTGACCGGCATCACAAGGTTGATGCAGCGCAGTCATAGCACTAAAGCGCCCACCTGATGGCCCTGGCACAACCTGGCGGCCTGGCCCAGGCGCGAACTAGCGAATTGATAAAAGACCTCGGCACTACAAGTCTCAGTCGCCTCTTCGGCATGGGCAAAATCAAAGATCAAGGAGAGTAGACTACGAGTCGCTCCCAGAGCCTAAGGGCTAAAATACCACATAAGACCCAGTCGCCTCTTCGGCATGGGCAAGATCAAGGAGAGTGGACTACGAGTCGCTCCCAGAGCCTAAGGGCCAAAATACCGAACTAACGAAGTCTTCCTCACCATATAAGACCCAGTCGCCTCTTCGGCATGGGCAAAATCAAGGAGCGGACTGCGAGTCGCACCCAAAGCCTAAGGAATTGAATCGGCGCTTACGAGCTCATCAAATTATTCATTCCGGGCCAAAAGGAGAAATCTACTCCCTTCGCCAAATTACTTTCGGCTCGGGAGTGGGGGACAAATGATGAGGGCGGATTTGGCCCTACAATGATATTGTGACACATGGCACCTCGAAACAAATAGGTGACACCCGGAACCACTTTGGAAACAACTTGCCTTAGCCAAGTTGATGGTGTCCCACCTGG